TGCAAATGGGGCAGTTGGGGGAGGTAACTGAAAGTCCTCTCCTGTTTAGCTTATCTTTAGTGAAACACTTGCCCTGGGCTGCTGTCCAGACAAGAAAGGTTACTTTTGAGGGTACTCTCTTTGTCCAAACAGTCTTATGAGGGAAGGTAGAATGTCCCAAACAGAGGTTCTACATCCTTGATTTAATGGAGAAGATTCCATTACTTTTCCATTTCCAAATTCTGCCATCTTCCTCTAAGGAATTAGGCTGATACTGTTGTAGTTGCAGAAGCAGTTCTTCTAGGCTTTTAATTTCTCAGTCAAATAGATTCCTCTTACAGATGGGGGACCAGGACCCATTTACTCCATAAGGGGAGAACATCTCAGATACTGTTGCTTCCCGTTACCACACCATGTTTCGACCGAAATCTCAATCAAGTGCCTTTTTGCAGCTTGGTAGCAATTCCTTCTAGAAAATGGGTATGTATTGCTGAATGACCTTCCAAAGAGCTATATCAGTGGTATGCAAAGAGTAGTTGTCATTATGTTAATAAAAAATGGGCTCGGTGTCATTATGTTAATAAAAAATGGCTTGGTGGTATGTCAACAAATTGGTCCACTACAAACCATACTTGCTTGCTATCAGATGGATCCACAAACTGTTTCTTTTTGCACTAAACCTCCAATGGCATTTAGAAAGCAGGGCATGTTCATGTCTCTTGTATGCGTATCTCCCCCCCCCCCATCCCCCTTCTCCTTCTCTCTTTCTCTTCCTTGCTGAACCCTTCTCTGCCACAACTTTTTTTTTTTTCATCTATATACTCATTTCTATCTTCTCCAACAACTTGTCTTTGAATTCTTAATGTGAACTTTTATTTGCTGCAGATTCAGATATGTAATTGATCTTTACAGCCCTTCCATTCCCTTCTCCTCCATCTTCTCATATCTGAGTCAGATCTGAACCCTTTTATTACCAACCTCCATGTGCGGAAATGGTAGAATATTCCTTCTCCATCCCACATCAACAGGATAGGCTAGCAGCGAGTTTAGGGTCTTAAGTTGGGATTAGGATATGAGAGTAAGTGGTGAAACTAGAATGGCTTTGGTACTATTTTTAATTGAGATCATGTGGTTCAACATTATGGTGGAATAGGTTAGAATGGCTGGTTCTGGTGGTTAAATAGAAGGATCATAGGTTATAGAATATGAAGTGGGGATTGGCTATGATTTTTGGTGGTATTACGGTTTTAAGAAATAAGGAATCTGCTGTATTATGGAATAAATATACAGGATTTCAAGAGTACATGTTTGGTTTGGGGATTGTTAAAGGAGAATCCCTCTGGAGAGAGAACCTCAATTGACCCATTGTTAGATTAGTAATGGTGGGCCAGATAAGATTTTGTCACCTAGCTAATAAAGTGCAATTATGCAGCATAATAAAGGTTTAATAGGAAAATAGGGTGTCCATATCGAGGTTTGCAATTGGTTTAGGTCTTGTACGGACAGCCATAAACAATAGAACCAGGATTACAAGAAAGTACAGTTTGATTGACTTGATGATAGGAAAGTAGGTTGAGTTTGAGGAGGAACTTATTGCTGCTTGTGTCGCCGGTAGATTTTCAACTCTCTCTCTCTCTCTCTTCCTCTCATAGGTAATAGAGATGTGATATATGTATAAATAAAAAATTATAAACCCAAAAATTGAAAATATACCAGATTAACTTAGAAGTGATCAATTCGTTACCTGTTGTTGTTGTCCAGGTTGAGTTGCCCAACGGTTTACCTACCTGGGTTGCTTGGTTTTTGACTGAACCATTGGTTAACCCAAGCTGGTATTATGACCAGGTGGTTTGTTGAACGGCCCCACCTGTCTAGTTCAATGACTGGTTGAAACTTAAAAACATTGTTTACCATGCCATTATCAACCACATAGAGACTAATTGTAGTTTTTCTTCTGCCTAGTTCATTGTTTTAACTCAACTTGCTATTTGATGAGGGTGATGATTGGTATGATTTTTAAATTTGTGGAACATAGAAATTCTTCATTAGCATGTTTAGTTCATCCCAGGTTTTTTTTTTTTTTTAAATTCTTGAGGGATCAAGATAAATAAACCTTGCCATTTAAAGCAATATTTTCTTAGCCAATTGCCTCTTGTCTGTTTACACCTTCTAAAATCCTTGGTGTCTGTAATGAAAATAGTGGATGCCTGGATGGGATTGCTGGTAACAAAGTTATTATTTTCTAATCCTCGGTATATTTGAGTTGCTACTAAAATATCTTGTGGAATCCTAGCCCACGTTTTGTTTATTTCTTTTCTTTTTCATTTTTTCTGGCATTGCTTCTCTGGTCTTTTGTTTTTTTAATGAATAATGTTGCAATAATTAGGACTTAGGAGACAAAACTAATAGAATTGACTCACCACAACTGCCTTTTATGTTTGTTTGAATAAGCCTACTTATATTTTCTCTGATTGTTGTAGATGTTTTGATGCAAACTTGGTTGAGATCCCTGTGGAAGTGGAGACTCCAGATCATCACTACTATCATGTATGGATTTGACTTAATTCATGTTCTTAGACTAGTATATGTTACATCATGACTTGAGAATATTGAATGAGGAAACTGAATCTAAAAGTTGAAAGTTTTATTCCTTCTAATGCAGCTTGCCTTTTTCACAACAAGAGAAGTAAATGCTATGGAAGAGTTAACTTGGGTGAGTCGGCTATGCTGCTATGGATATTCTATCTCACTCTGAGCATCATTTCCTTTGCCACCACACATTAATATATTATTTCTCAGGCCTTTTCCTTGTGCATTGCTAAAACTGTTCTTTGACTATTCTTGTTGAATCCTACAATTTATCTTCATGAACTTCTCTTGTTGGTTTACTCATGAAGTCTGATGTTTGGATATGCCTTCTTTTCCTTGTTATAGTTGTGAAGGGGGTGGGGAATGACTGGATAGAGAACCTACCAATCTGTCTCAAGTTCAAACTACCTAATCTCTGCTTCCAGGGTTGGGGTTTCTTGTTGGGCAGTATGTGATAGTTCTAAACTAAGGGAATCAAATATGTGCATTATTTTGGGCTTTATAACAGTTTGCCACCAAGGCTTCCTTGTTTTTTGATATTGAGTCTAGGATGAGAAAGACTTCTTTGGTGGTTGATCACCACGCCATGAATCTGTCAGAACTTCAACTCCAGCACCATCTTCTAATTCRTATCTGATTCCTTTCAAGAACTGTGGATAAGCCTTTTCAATATCTTTCTTATCAGCACAGTTATTTTACTAAATTGATTAAAGGTGGATTAGTACAATTTGATTACAGGAGTGTACTCCCTACATATACAACTAGATTAGAAAAATGTCCAATAAAATTGCTGCCTTGCGACCCTTTGTTTTTGCTAGGTCATCGGCCAAGCCCATTACCCACTTGAAATCAGCATTTAAGTCCTTTGCCAGCCTTTCAACTTCCCTGAAAATATGTTTGAGAGTTCAAGGAATTTGTCTATTAAAAGACACCCATGTAGCAATGCCAACAGCTCTGCCTTCACAGAGTTAGTAATGCTAATTGGCCCTGAAATAAAGCCAAGATCCTGCTCTCTGAATTTCCTATTGCTCCACCTTTTCCTACCAATCCCATTTTACCCAAGGAGCTGACATCAAAGTTTTAGTTTAACTTTATTGCCTTCTGGAGGTTTCCATTTCAATCTTTCTTCTTGTTTTGTTCTAGAGGATTTTTTTTTTGATGAATTTCTTTTGTTCTAGAGGATTGTGCTACTTCCTTCCAAGTTCGTATAATGTTAATGACCGAGTATATCTGGAAGCCATCCAAAGTCTTTACCTAAAAAGCAACCTTCACTTTTATGCTATCTATTACCTCCTCCACTGTCCTACTCTTTTCTCTGAAGATTATGTTATTACTCTCTTCCTGCACCACCCAAGCTACTGCTGCTATAGTAGCTCTCCACATTATTCTCCCCTTCTTTTGTTGCCTAAGGAAGCGTGGGCTAAATATCCACCACCTTGAAGATAAAATATAAAAATCCACCACCTCTTGAGGGGGTCTGACTTGCAACCAAAGAGAGAATAGAAAAACTCTCAAACACAAGCACAAAAGGTAGAAGGTGGCCCAGATGCCATCTGTGTTGTGTTGTGTTGGGCCTCGAGCCTTAGGGGGCCGTGCTTGGACAGCATGGTCCCCCTCCTAGGTTAGGCCCAACATGGCCTGTGGCCTGATTTCCATCTTTGCCTGGCCGGGCCGGTGTCGGTGTTAGACAGTGTATGCCCTTAGCTTCAATCACATTGATGTACTTGATGACATTTATTGTAAATGAATAAAAGTACATAATTGATTCATGTGTTTTGGTATGTTTCTGTGTAATACCCTTAAACTGGACACCTATGAGACTCGTGTTAGTTTAGAATCTTCACAGCCGTTGGATAGATCTGGGGAGATTTATCCTTCCAAGGCTAACACTGATGTGCCGCCAAGTTGGTTAGGGTGGCTTGTCTCAGCTACCAGGGTGAGACATGAGGTGCATGCAGTGTGGGTTTTCTTGAAACCTTGAACCAGGCCAAAATTCCAGTATTGCCCTGGACCTTGGAGATAGATGGGCAAAATTGGAATGTTACACCTGACTCCTAGACTCGATTATGATACTGCACTAGGTGTCGGATTAGGCTGTCTTTGATGTGCCAATCAGTGAGATCCTTAGAGGGGGTCAAAACCTGGGTATGTTGGGAYARTYYRAGAATTCATCTGAGTGGGTGATCATAGTGACAAGATCAGCCCCTTTGTCGGACAAAGTGAATGATCGGGGATGCACTCTCTCTGATGGAAACCTAAACTGTCGGCAGT